CCCCCCCCCCCCCCAAAAAAAAAAAATTGCATGCATATCATTCATTACCTGTTGCTGTTGCTGGCTGTGCTCGAGGAGGTGCTCCCTGTTGCGCTCCTCCTGGTGCTGGTGCTGTTGCTGCGCGAGCTGCCTCGCCTGCTGCTTCTGCAAGAGTTCCGCGTTCACCTTCGCGGAGCAACGACACACGGAGGGCAACGAGGCGCGAGCGACGGCACGGCCAAACGGGGGCGAGAGGGGGAGTTGACAAAAGGGTTAAGGACACTACGGGAGACAACTTGGCGTGGGATCTACGAAGACGGACGGGGCAAGGCCGAAGGATACGACGACAAACACACTTGCACGGTACCACCTGCTGGTATCTACGAACGTTGTCGACGTAGTTGAGAGACACAAGACGGGGTGATGAGACAAATTCTGACAGAAAAAACTCTACAAGATACCAAGGTGGCCCCCACGGCAAAAGGCAGAAAACGCGAGACGCAAAACGTGGAGACGCAAAACGTGATACACACACACGCACACGGATAGATCCATCCGAGAAAGTACGTTGGCCCTTGCTCCCACAAGACAAGAAGAAGGCCCACACACACACGCGACGGACACACCGCAGCACGCAGCCAGCAAAAACAAACGTGACGCGTTGGCGGGGGGGGCAGGGGGGAGGGGGGAGAGGGCCCAACACAACCACACGCCGACGAGAAAAAAAAAAAGAGGTCGTCATCTTAAAAGTTCACCTGCAGCTCCCTCTGCTGGGCCTGAAGACGCCGCTGGAGGGCCTCCTGCTGCATGAGGATCTGGTGCTGCCGATGGTGCGCCTGCTGCTGCTGCTGTTGCTGTTGATGCGACTGCGGGGATGCCTGGGCGTCTTCTCTCGACTGCTGCTGCAGCTGCTGCTGCCGCTGCTGTGAGTGAACGGCGGACTGGTCATGCAGCATAGACAAGAGATCGGCGCCAGGATCAGGTCGGCCTTGCTGCTGCTGCTGCTGTAGCGGCAACCGGCAGACCGCAAGAGAAAGAAGGGGGGGCGTCAGGGACAGGGAGCGACAGGCAGACAGAAGACAAGAGAGACAGCGAGAGACAGGAAAAAGGAAGTCAGCCCCTCGTGAAAGAAACGAGTCCAAACAATAAGACTACACCAGAAAGCACTCCTGCCACATTGCTACAGTGCCACGCAGGACAGACCCCCGGCCGCTTCGAATCATCCCCTCCCTTTCCCGTGTTTCGTCCGTTCCTACCGCACTCATATGCATAAGCCGGACCTAATATTGTCTGGCAACAACAGCGACACAACAAGGACGGACGCGGGCTACACACGAACCATCTCCCGCCAGACTTGCACAACAAACGCGGCTGTTGTTCTACCACACCGAAATCTGCCAAAATGTAACGCACACTGCGACACACGGCTACACTCATCATACAACCAAAGGGTAGCAGCAGCACGGCAACACCAACACACAATCTTCTTGCCCCCCTCTTCCACCACGCACCATGCCGTACTGGCCTTCCGCGGTGACCCCGCCGTCGCGCGCCGCTGCCCCATCTGCAGCGCCTCCCCCGGCGGAGGAAACCGCCGCACCACCGCCGCCCCCGCCAGCCGCGGGTTGCGCCGCATCTTGCGAAAAGATGCCGAGATCAGCGAGGATGTTGAATCGCTGCGTCGCGGAGGTTGCCGAGGAGGACGGGGGCATGGCCCACGGTTCCTGAGAATCCATTCCATGGTGGGTCATTGTTGCGGGAAAAACCGTCGTCAGGGCATAACCGTGTGGTTT